ATGGCTCTAGTTTCCATTATGATGTTTAAGTCTCCTTTGTGGAGTTTGTATTTTGTAGTGTCGGTTGTCTCTTTGATGGAGTTGTACCTCTTGGATTCTTCTGGAATTTCAAGGGGGTAGGTCCAGGTTTTCTGGTTCCTTAGTGTCAATTGACACTCCCTTTGCACTCTTTTTAGTTTTTCAATTATTTAAGTGTTTGTCGTTTCGAAAAAAAAAAGATCTTATTGGAGAGGTTGAGAATTATCAAACGGCTAAAGACATTTGTGACAAGCTTAAGGTGATTTTCGGGCAAACTTCATGCCTTGAACTTAAAGTGAATAGATTACAAGATGGATCCTAAGCACTCTTTTGCCGAACATTTGCGTGTCATGAGTGCCATGATATGTGACCAAACGCTGCAAGACGAGATGTATCTAACGAGGAGCAAGTTCTAAATGTTGTTCGTTCACTTTCAAATGATTTTGAGAACTAGAAGAATTCCAAGCTCCTCATGGCTCATCGCGAGAACGTTGAAACTTTTTCAGAACTCGCTAAACATATTGAAATGGAAGTAGAATGTCAGAGAACGTTAGTACCTTCCAATGTTGCACTTGTTTCCCATGGTGGTCAAGCCAAGAAAAATAAGCGCAAGCGAGCCAAGAAATTTTCTTCTCCTTCTCAAACTTCTGGATCAAATAGTGGTTCAAAAAAACAACTTATGACACATGGCTGATATTTTGTTTAGACGTTTTGGATTTTAAACTTTGTTTGAATACTCTAAAGTTACCATGTTTTTGAATGATTATTTATGTGGAATGGTTTGAATTGAAGAATAGTTTTTGAGTAATGTTTGTAGAAATACTTTTAGAAAATGTTTTTAAAAGTTCAAATTATTTCTAAAAATCCGTATTTTCCTTTAAATAGATAAGCGAGCGTTACATCCTGTCTTTGGCGTTGTTGGAATATGAGTTTCTGGTTCTAAAATTTTGTCGGCCTCTTCTTCTCATTTCCATTCCAATCTTATCCTCATCTTTTTGTGCATTCATCTTGTGTATGCTTTATTTTTATTTTAGCTTGTTAAGCAATGAGTGCTCTCTCATAAACTTGGCAAGATGTTCCTCATTTTCTGATCATAAACAGAAAGCTGCTAGAGCTGCAACTATTAAATTTGTTTACTTCAGACACCAACTGTTCCCACCAACTTATTTCACAATACCTTTCACTCAAGATAATTTGACATGTAGCAGAAAATGAAATTGCTTTTGGAAAAATTTATGTAACGTTGAGATCTTAAAAAGAGATCATAAAAGGTTAGAACAACTCTACAATTCCAAATGAGTTACTTGTTTCAGCCTCTCCGCATCTCAAGTATCTATGTAGAGAAGAAAACGAGCGCATAAGTCCACTTATCATCTCAAAAATGAAGATATCTCGCAAGTAAATACAAAATAAGTACAAAATACAGATACCAATATCGTAGTATTGCCAAAAGACAAACTGCTATTTAGTATCAGAAACCACAAACCAACCCTACATCTTGGCTGCCTTATTAAACAATACGACCTTATTTTCTATTTTGACAATGTCCTTGATAACTAAAACCCAAGTTTCAGTAACTTTCTCCAAATTCCCGTCAACTATGTCAGCTATGGTAAACGCGCGCAAGGTGCCTTTGAAATCTGATGCTATGGCTGAGGTCATTTCGGTGTTTGAGCTACTTATATGGCTTACTTGCTCATTGCTAATTGTTTTAACCCTGGGAACAATTGCCCCATTGAGATATACAGTGCTGTCATCCCCAACTACTATCATTTTCCGAACACCTTTCCCATATGCCAACTCTTTATGCATGTGACCAAACACTACTAACTTGATCGACTGTTTGGTGGTCGCTTTAAGCTGGGATATCGCAACTGCCAAATCTGTACATCATTTGCATATTTCATCTTCATTATAGTAAAGGCATAAATAATAGGCTAAAGTTGCAATTTTAGTCCTGCAACTCTTCGAAAATTAGCAGTTGTAAATGCTTTCAAAAGAGATTTTTCTCTCATGGAGCTTTTGCAGGAACTTCTCAATATTTTTACATTTATGGCTGTTTATGAATTAATTAAATATCTGAACAAGCATTCGGAGCCAAAATAGCCATATAGAGAACTTAGGGTGTGTTTGTATATGAAAAGATTCAATCCATACTCAAAATCTAATTCAACTCTAACCCAACTCCACTATCCTCAACATTATCAATATAATTAAATAATACCAACAATCATTCTTACACATTATATCTAACTTTAATTTACTATTCATTCACTTATATAATTTTAACTAACCATCACTTCACACCATCTCTCTCCTACTTTTACATCAAATCAACTTTAATTATTTTATTTTAAATAATATTTTAATATAAAATCAAAATCCCACTAACAACTAATCATACTACTTTATTCAAAATCAACTCTGGTTAATAAAAAAACTAATTTTGAGCGGATATATTTGTATATAAACACGCAATATTGTCAAAATTCCCATGTAGTACCAAAATAAAAGAAAGTACCAATTTATCAATTAAGACAATATAATATAGTTACCAATATTTAGCATTACCAGGATCTCCATGGTCACCACCTTCAGGAACCCAATCTCTTCCACAGATATCATCCACGTTGGAGCCCAGACCTATGCAAAGTTAATCTTCTTATTAACGTTAAGGATTTCTTAACTACTTACAGACAAAGAGCGTTTGCTTTACAAACCTGTAGGCCCATTATGAGCAAGAAATATAACCGAATGATCTGTAGGTGTTGTTAAAGCGGCTTGATAGATCCTCTTTGCGCTTTCATCCATCTTATGGACACTATACCTACAAAAAGTAATGGCAACACAGAGTTTAAAATTCAGGCAAGTCTGAGGAAAACAAAGTTTGAGATTTTGTGCTCATATAAATACATAAATGTAAGAAATCCTGATAGTAGATATATTTATTGAAGCTAATTAAACTTTGCATATAACTAAAAATTATGTTGCTGCTTAGTATGAATTAGTGCCACATGATGGATTGTATGTCAGAATATTCACATTTAAGTTAAAGAAAACCAGATTTAAAATTACATCATCCACACATTTAAACTAATGTGTTAGTTTATAATATTTTATAAAACCTCTATTTTTGTTTCCTTTCAACAAAATAATAATAATAACAAAAGAAAACGAAGTTTACAGAAACTTGAGCTTAAACTGAAACCAAATATCATCACAACACAAATTTCCCTAATAACATCTTGTTTTTTTTATTTATTTTTTTGGAAAAATGATACACATATGTTCATGAAATAAGTAAGACGCACTAGTGGATCACATAAAATATACCTAGCAGCAAGAAGTTTATTCCGAAACATATAATCACCACCACATGAAAATGGCCGTCCACCAACTATACTCAATTTGAAATTTGGAAAATCCAGCCGCCGATAGCCAACATGCGCTTCACCAAGACTGGTTGTCAAAAGCCAACAGCCATTTCAACATATCACACGAAATAAAGTAGACAGCTAGGGACCGTAAAGAATTCTTTGCCTTGAGTTGAACAGAAATGTACATCAAGTTCAAAAGAAACAAGAATTTCAAATTGAAAGGTACATTTCACACCAAATATTTCGTAATAATGTCTGATTGGAGCAATTCAATGGAAAAGAGAAACAACTCGCATATCTTACTGCCTAATCCATTTTCACAACCCCTTACCATCAAATTTAATGCGCATTTACTCGATTACCAGAACAAAATGTGCACATTCTTCTTAGTTGACTTTAACAATGTTAACAACCAAATCTTTCATTATAGAAATGACAAACTCAACACTATTACACCATTGAAAAGCAGTACTGGCCAAATCACGGTAACAAAAGCTATATTATACATAGTTCATATAAACACATTAGGGTTATATACTCTGTAAACAGATGAAAAAGATGCTAAAACTACTACCGCTTCAGATTCTTCCCAAATGATTGGATCAAACACTCAGTTTAGCCACATACCCAGAAACTACTAGAATGATAGCAATCATGGTAAAATGGTAAATTGAAAGAGAATTACATTACAGTTTACAGGACCTAACATGAGATGAAGTTTCCCATAGAACATCTAAAGAAACAATAGTTTTCTGGAGTACCAAGTGGGCTCATCAAGAGATACCTTAAATATGGAAACTGTAGCCATCACTTGTGATGTAAATAGAAGTAATGATACCTAGCAGATCTTTGATCTTTTGATTAAATTATTAAAAAATTCTTGGTAATTAAGTTGGATTCATATATACTGCATGTCTTTCATTCAATCACCCACTAACATTTTCACAGTAATGGGCATACCCTTTCATGGTAGGGGTTTCAGCTACCCATTAATCCATTTTATGAATAGAAGTCATATGCATGATGGTATAGCCAAGAAACCAAGTAGAAATAAACAATATTACCAAAAAACATAAAACAATACATAATGTTTTGTTGATTAAAAGGACCAGCAAATGGTATGACAAGTATAAAATCTTCTGATAAGAGTTTAGTTCCCAAGTGCACAGATCTGAGGAAAAAGAAGACATGGGCTATGAGAAATATTATGCCTATAAGTAAATAAAAAGGCAAAATGTACAAAATATTTTACACATAAGTTAGACTACTCGAAACTTACTATTCAAGCTGCAGTTGAACAGCATCCTTTTCCCTGCATTAAATTGCCATGGCAGTCAGAACAAACATATTGTGCATAAACAAGGATTGTAAATGGATTGATTCAAGTACCAAGATAAGTGGTATTGACATCAGATTTACACAGATAAGGGAAGAGCAAAGATAGAATCCTTTTCCTTTCTCAAGAGAATAGTGCCGACAGGAAACTGTTCAAGAACTGGAAGATGAAAGCTTTCTTCGTTCATCGGGAACACTAAAATCGATAAGAATGTGTGGCTAAGAAAAGTCATAAGATGATATCTGTGCTTGATGATAAGGTTTACAAAGTTATTAATTATATGGGCAGTAAAGAGAACAATTTAGATTGCAGAAAGCTGGAAATTACGAAGAGAATAGATAGATAAATAAATAAATAAAAACAGCACAAAGCAGTGCTGCACATTGCATCAAATCCAGAATTTCATGAACAAACCATATATATCAAGGTAGATAATCACATTGTATGTGCTAAGGCAGGAGTCATTTCAACAGGATATATTAAATCAGAAGACCAGCTCAGAGACGTATTCAGTAAAGCTATGAAAGGATTACAGATGAACAACATTTGTAAAAAGCTGCACATTATTGATATATATGCTTCAGCTTAAGAGGAGTGTTATCGTATATATGGTATAGATTAGGATATCAATTAGTAAAATATTGTAATGTTGCAGATTAGGCATCTTTAGTGAGTAAAATATCCTTGTACATTGTACTCTTGGATATATCAGATACAATATGTTCATTTGTCTCTGTATTTACCTTTCCAAAAAACAGTAGGAAGATGGAGTTCAAGATCACAATAAGAAGGTTCAACAACAAGAGGATTATTAGCCTTCAATCTTTTACCGAAGCAGCTGGTGGGGGACATGAATCGGGCCCAACTATAAGTGGAGTCCATTTCCTTCGAGTATAAACTTGAATTTCGTGAGATACGAATAATTCAGAGGGAAGTTGAGGTGATTCTTATGGACGATATCAGAAGTGAAATCAAGTCAGAGGACTCAAAAGATAAAGCACTGTAAGCATCGAGAGTTACAGAAGGCAAGCGATTAATAAGAAAACATACAGCCCAATAGAGTTGAGGAATGTTCATTTGGAAAAAAAACGGTTGAGCAACCTTTGAGAAGATGCCAATTTTTCATTCAACAACCTCATTTTGGGCATGTGTATCAGCACAAGAGGATTCATGTAAAGTTCCCCATAATATCATATAAAGGATGGAATGAAACAGAAGAATATTCTTTATGCAATATTCTTTGTAAGAAATCATGGATTCCAAAAATTAATTTTGAATTTCTGAACAAAACGAAGACAAATTCTGGACAAAGCCCATCTTTTGATAAAAAGCTCATAACGGCAATTTGCTCACATTTCTTCTGCATCTATTTCACATCAGTTCTAAGAGATAGAAGACAATTTAACTCCCTGTACTTTCTTAAATTACTTAACATAACAAGTAGAAGATTTATCATTTTGTTTCCCACTATGAAATGATTTACACACAGAAATAAGGAACAAAAACAGGAGCTAAGAAGATTCCGAGTGGGCTTCACACGTGCTGAATCCAGTTGGCGACAGATTCTAATAGATAGCCAATAGACGGCCAGCGAGTCTTTGGAACGGAGGTGAGATCATATTTTGACTCTATGTTAGTAGCAGAGAGCTGTCATAGAAAACAAATCCCTCTGTGTTCTGTGTTTTGACGGACAGAAAACAAAATGGATTTCTCAAAAAACTTAAGCATGACTCTGACACCATGTAATGTAAATTGAATACTGTGTAAATAGAACACAACACACATCTACACTCTAAGAGAGCTAACAAACAAAAAATAAACTAATTAAGGGCTGGGAAAATTAGAAGGATAAGATTGATATATCTTTCCTAAACTATTTACAATATATTTGCTAACATGTGCAAATGATATCACATGGTCCTAAATGGGGAATAGTGGTTACTAGCAATAGATATCCACATTACTATTATAAGAACATGAAGACAACATTCAGATTACTATTACAAGACGTGAAGACTGTAAATTACGATGCAATTTGCAAGGTGAACAAAGCCCCAAACTAATTGAAACTAAAATATAAACAAGTAATGTGTGTCTATGATGTAAAAGAAAGTTCAACATGGGAGGCCCAGACTGAATAAGTCAATTCAATAGTATACATAGATCATCCATTTATTAAGTAATTTGATTATCTTCCATATCGAATCAATACACCAAATACCATTGTTTTTAGTTGCTTCATGTAACCACAGATCAGTTTATCTCAAGCTTACTTTGGGGCGAACTTCCGGGTCTTCCATGCATCATGGTTCCCCAAAATGACTGCTGTCGCAAAATCAAGATTTGAAATGCTCCGAACTATATCAACATTCTCATTACCAAAATCACCTGGAGAAGAATCTCACATGATAGGCTAAAACAGAAAGGACATAGAAAGTACATAAATACTGATACCGATTGGCTGAAGTAGCTCGATTAAGGAAAGGACCAGTGCACCTGCCTGTGAACAACACTAGATCTGGCTGCATTTTCCAAAATCCAAAATACAAATTATTAAAATCCATTCATGGCATTAAAATGAAAGATACAGCTAAACTTCATCAATATAAGAAATTCCCATATTGATAGACAGTTAATACAAAATACAAATAAAGACGTACACTGCAGTCGGCATTTTAAGGTAGGAAGACAATTGGAAAGAAGACAAATTTCATTTGTCCTAAATTCTACATCAAATCAAATCCTACAATCTATATTTTGGATGCAAAATCATGACCTTTAAGAAGAAAATAAGGATAATAAAACCACTTCATTTAATGTTGTTGTGACTTGTATTATAACTGATATGCCTTAAGTAGAGTAGTCCAACTTTCATTGCGAGCAACAGTTATCAAATAATATACCAAGCTTTATAAGTGGCATGTATAATAAAATTACCTCAGTCAAAAGAAGTTGATGCGAATATGTAATAAAAGGATAACAGCATAAGTATCCCTCAACAGATATGCATCACAAGTGATGATCTAAATCAAATTTAAGAATCAGTATAGCAAAGGAATTTATACTGAACACTAGCCAGATTTTGTATACGATTGAGAGAGAGAGAGAGAGAAAGAGAGAAGAGAGAGAGAGAGAGAGAGAGAGAGAGAGAGAGAAACCTTCAACAGTTGCAGAGCCTTGGTATCCTCTTCTAGATTCCAATCGTTATGCTTCAAAATCGAAAAAAAGGATTAAAGAAACTGAAGTTAGTATTCGCTCAAAGTCGAAAACCTTCCGTCAACTGTAGTTGTAACCATGAGTTTGAGAAATTGAGGTAGGGTAGAGGATTACGACGTCGCCAACAATTGCAATACGGATGGAGGTGGCCATCGGAACTTTAGAGCAACGGACTCTGGAAGGCGGTCGAGAGCGAAAAGGCGGCGCGTGTAGCCACGTGCAATCTCTCAGAATTAACATTCATAGATGTTGTACATACGCCTCAAATTCATGTCAACACTCAACAGGTCAAACTTTTATTTTTTTGTTTTCTCACCAAACATCAAATTTAATTAAAATTAAAACTGTTGAAATGTACAAGACAAGTTACTAAGAGCATGTTTGTTTATGAAAAATTTTCAAAAAAAATTTTACATTTTAATTCAACTATTTTTTTTAACTCAACCCCACTATCAGTAATATTATTAATATAATTAAATAATATCAATCAATTATTCATACACACCCCATCAACATTAATTCACTATTCATCCACTCACATTATTTTATCTAATCATCTCTCTCCTACTATTACATCAAATCAATTTTAATTTTTTTATTTTAAATATTATTTTAATATACTCACTAATAACTAACCATAACACTTTTTTCAAAATTAACCAAACCAAACCAAAAAATTCAAACAAAACCAAAAATTTTCATAAACAAAAAAGGATTACAAGAAAAAATGAGGAATAGCTCATGATGAGTTTACCCACACGATCAACGGTCAAGAAAACAAACAAACTAAAACAACAAAGAAACCTAGGGGTGGGCACGGTCCGAGACGGTCCGGAATTGGACCTGTCCCGGTATTTGTCCCGATTTTTTGAACCGGTCTGAGACGACACCTTGTCCCAAACGGAACGGTATCAACTGGGACCGGGACAAAACGGGAAAAAAATGTTCAAAAATCAAACTTCAAACTAAACTATTCTCTGTNCAAAAAAAAAAAACAAAAAAATAAAAAACTTTGATTCCATTCAAAAGGCCAAGAAACATTGTCTTACAGTCTTAAGTTACAATTCATAAAGCTACAACCAAGCATTCAAATGAATCAAATCTGCAACCATTGACCATTCCAAAGTTCACATATTGTCTTACATTTAGTAACTTACCCAAAAAAGTAAATTAAACATTGTCTTAAAACAAAAGGCTAAAGGGTACATACTACTGATTTCAGTCTATCACAAACATGGACGGATTTATGCTAGGCCTGGGCTGAAGATTATATATATTATTTTAATAACTATTAGTTCGAAAAAAAAATATTGTATTTCTAGCTCAGCCAAATAAATTAATTTATTAACCCACCAAAATAATTCACTTATCTATTAAGTCCAAAAACTACTAACACCATTTTAATAAAATATTATATAATATTGATACACCATTTTTACTATGCATTAACCAACAAAACACCATTGTATACCAAACTCCAATCAAATAAATTAGTCACGGTCATGCCCCTCCTCTGAAGCCAGAACAATGAATTTAGAAGGGAAAAAAAATTATTCAACAAGAAAGAGCTACTTTGATGAAGATGATTTAATTCATTCTTTAATAGTAAGTTATACTTTTAAACCCCCTATTACATATTTATTTTATTTGTCGAGTTGTCTTTGTCTATCTTCTCATTTTAATTGAGCTATTTAGGGTTTTAATAATTATTGCTAAGATCTTGGTTGCAATTCTTGTTTTGTTGATTTTGTATGAAGTAGTAATTTTGTGTGTGTGTGTGTGTGTGTGTTTAATCTCTTATCATGTAGTGTGGTTGTTGTATATCATAGTTGGGTATAAATATATGATGTGTAGGCATTTCATTTTGTTAATAACTATGTCATATGAAAAATCTATTCATTTGTATTGTGGAATTTTTAGAAATTCACATGTAGCACCAACCTTCGGCCAACAAATGAAAAAACCCTGTTGATATCATCATTGTTTAGAAAATGAGATTGACGACAAACTAGTGAAAGCACATTGCAAAATGAGCATAATGATTTTTTTTTTTTTTTTTGTAGAAGCTCGTCGAGCACAACTTCATTGAATATTTGAATAAAAAAGATATTATGTGATTTTTGTGAAAATGAGTTTTTAAAATTCTAGCCCAGCGTACACTTAAGTTATGGATCCGTCCCTGATCACAAGCATGAACAATACTTCAAAATTCAAACTGAAAGCAAAGCAGCCTAATTCAATCATCATAACCTGCTTTCAGCCTAATTCCAATTATCATAACCACCATCTTCATCTTCCAAGCTTTCCACATCAACCATCTTATCCCCAGCAGTCATTTTTGCATTGTACAACTCTACAAAATGGAAAACAAAGTGAATAATTACTTTATAATTTAAAAGAGCAATAATCAAAGTATGAAACTAAAAATATATTATAAAATCAACAATCAAATTCTGAAACTGAAAGAAATCAAGAATGAAACTGAAAAAGTATATAGTACCTGTCTCAATATTTTCATAGAATTCTAATTCTTGAGTTGAAGGTTCATTCTCAAAGTCCATGACTATTTTATCTCCTCTAAGCCAATTTTGCATGCAAATCAAGGCCTCCACAGATTTAGGAGTTAATGAACTCCTAAATGAATCAATCACTCTCCCTCATGTGCTAAAAGCACTCTCAGAAGCCACTGTTGATACTAGAATAGCAAAAATATCTTTGGCAATTGTAGAGAGAACTGGATACCGGGAGGCTGCATTTTTCCACCATTGCAATATATCAAAGGATTTGTATTTCTCTATCACATCCTCAGCAACAAGATCATCACCTTTTTTATCCTTAATGGCTAACAAAGGATCTTTCAGATATGCATCAATCTCATGCTCTATTGTTGCCTCATCAGTTTCTGTGACATGTTTGGTCCAATCAACAACATACTTCAAGTTGTTGTTGCCTATATTAACCCTACTCCCAACATTTGAATCACTGTCTTTCATTTTTTGCCTCTTCATGTTGTTGCTGCTGCTGCTACTCACTGACTCTACACTTCTTTTATTCAAACTTTTATCATTTTGTGCACTATACTCTTCAAACAACCCAAACAATAGTTCTTTGATATCTTTTTCCTTCTTCTCAACCTCATAATCACTCCACATCAACTCAACAGACAATAATATAGTGACATGTTTCATCTTAAACCTTGGATCCATCAGAATTCCCACAAAAATTAAAGGGTTCATATCCTTCAGTTGACCAAAGTATTTGTTATACTTGGTTTTCATGAGTGATGCAATGTCAGCCATTAATCTATGAGTTGCAGTAAGGGGGGGCACATATTGATTTGCTGTTCATAGCTGATTCCATGTTAACAATATCATTAAAGGTAGTGTGAATGGTTGGGTGATTAGAGGCACTTACCCTAAGTGTGACATCATAAAAAACATGAAGAAAGCTTATAAAATATTCACATGCATCCCAATCTGAATCCCTTGGTGGCTCAAATTTTTTTTTTGTCCCTTTTTTGAACAATTACATTTCCATCATCGTCAAACTCCTCATCAGGCTCATTAAAGTATGCAAGATATGGGTTGTCCACCTCTTGTTCCATTCTTTTGAATGCTCTTTTGAGTTTCAAGGCATAATCCAACATCAAATATGTTGAATTTCATCTTGTTGGCACATCTAAGCAAACCAATCCCTTGTAATCAATTTTTTCCCTAACCACAGCCTTCTTAAAAAGGGCCAACGTAGATGGTGAGCTTCTTACAAACTTTACAGCATTTCTAATTGCCAAAATGGTAGAGTTTAGCTTTTTAAGACCACTGCCAACAATTAAGTTTGTAATGTGTGCCACACATCTCATGTGCAAATGTTTCCCCCCCAAAATCAAAGGTGAATTCACAGAATTATTTAGCTTTTCAACCAAATACTCTAAAGCTACCTTATTGGCAGAACCATTGTCCACTGTAACAGTCAAAACTTTATCAACTCCCCAATCAGCTAGACATTGTTCAACTAAGTTAGCAATAGTAACCCCTGATGGTTGGTAATAACACAGAAATTCAACACCCTTTTATGTATTTTCCAATTTGAATCAATAAAATGGGCTGTTAAAACCATATAGTTGCAGTTTTGGACACTGGTCCAAGTATCAGTGGTTAAGCAAACTCTTTGGGAAACAAGATCTTTTTTTAGTTGTTCTTTCTTAGCTTCATACATATCTAAGAAAGTTCTGACAAGAGTTCTCCTAGATGGGGCCTTAAACAATGGCATTCCTGTGGCACAAAACTTTCTAAACCCCTTTTTCTCCACAAAATTAAATGGCAATTCATCAAGAACTACCATTTCCACACAAGCCTGCATTGTTTATTTTTTATCAAAACCTTTACAAGCAAGTTGATTATAATCTCCCTTTTCCCATGTTATAACTTTTTGCTTACTTAAATCAATATTGGCAGGATACCATTTACATTTCTCAGGTATATGCTTGTTAGGTCCCCCAGTCCCATTTGGTCTACTCTCTGCAGCAAAATCACCTTGTCCCATTGGACAATATTTGCATTTAGCCCTCTCTTTATACTCAACAACATCTTCAATCAACCCCGATTCTAGATTCTTAACTTTCTTAACAGTTCTAACCCAATAAGTAGTAAAATGTTCCCAAATGGAGGACCTATAAACCCTAGCCTTCATACCTGGTAGAAGCTCATATAGAATATTCGGCCCAGTTGGCATATTTGCGGGCTGCACCACCACAGGCACGGGATTAGAAGCACTGCTTGGTGTTGGTGGAGTTTCCATTGTCGGTGAATGCCTCCCAGCTGCAGGAATTTTCGGAGATGTGCCGCAGGATTTAGACATGGTATTTGCAAATTAGGGTTCTTGATTTTTTGATTGGAATTTGAGATTTGAGGATTAAAACTTGAGCACAGAGCTATATATATTGAATTAAGGTTTTGATTCTGAATTTGAGAACTAAATCAAAAAAAAAAATGGCGAGATTGGAGGTGTTGATCGCGATTTGAATGGCGACGCGATGGAGATGCCGAGATGGAGAAGAGAAATTGAATTGGGAATTTGGGAATTTGGATTCTGTAGTCTATGCGTTGTGCCCGTAAATATAAATGTTAATGACTGAATGTGTATTACTTTATTATTTAATTTTTTCATTTTTTGGGCCAATTGTCTTAACAGACAAGTGAATTGGGCTTTCCTTTCATTAATAAAAAAAGCTTGTTAAGATTTTTGTACAAAAAAAAACCTGTTAAGATTTCATTAATAAATATAAATTAATGTATAACATATATATATATATATATATATA